GCAGTTGTCCTCCTACTCCTCCAACGGGAAGACAACCTCAGTATAAAAGATACACTACGAAGAACAACCAAAATACTTGGAGATAACCTTGCTATAACTTTGCTACAACTTTGCTAACCACAAGCAAGATATTCAAACTCTGAAAAGCAAAAAGCCTCCTTGAGATTCAAACTTATTATCCTCTACAAGAGAAGGCAGAAGTTGGAAAAATACTCTTTCCAATTCAAGCAAAGTTCTAAGTGTTCTTCAACTCTTCAAGCTCATCACATACAAATCTTTTGTAACGAAGCTAGTTGGAGGAACCCCAGTTTCAACAGAAACTCTCCTTGCTACAAGAAGGACGTCCAAATAACTGGAGTAGTGAAGTGGTGATAATTCAAGGAAACTCAGTGAAAGGACCAGTGTTAAAGGAAGCCAGGCAGTGCATCCCAGGACACATCTAGGCTTGAAGAAGACGTGGAGTGCTTCTTAAGTACTAGGACTAAGGCTTTGTAAACGGCAGTTTTTACAGCTTAGTGGAACAGTGGATTAGAGGAACGAGTTGTTCCTTGAACCACTATAAAAATCCCTGGTGTCGTTTACTTACTGCTTTTAATACTTGCACTTAGTTAGAACTGTATAACTCCTTGGACTTGGTATCTGTGTTCAGCAGAACTTGTTCTACGAGTTAACAGAAGGCCTTCTGCCTATTGCTTCTCTGAGGCTAACAGAACTCCCTACCAGAACCCCATCCGCTGCCAGTCTGTTCTTACAACAGAACAGGCTATTCTGTAAATCTGGTACTTAGTTTAAAAAGCTAAAAACCAATACAGTCTATTCACCCCCCCTCTAGACTGTATCCAGTATAACCGGGACCAACACTCGTTCTCTCTCAAAGTTTGCAATGTGAGTCTCAAGTGTTTCTCGTGATCCTCTGGGGTTTTTGAATATACGAGGATATCATCAATGAATACCACTACAAAGGTATCAAGGTAAGGTCGGATTACACGGTTCATTAGATCCATGAATACCGCTGGTGCATTAGTTAAACCAAACGGCATCACAGTGAACTCGTAGTGTCCATACCTCGTGCGGAATGCTGTCTTTGGTACATCTTTCTCGGCTATTCTCACTTGATAGTAGCCAGAGCGCAAGTCTATCTTAGAGAACGTGCTAGCCCCTTTTAATTGATCAAACAAGTCGTCAATCCGGGGTAATGGCTAAACTCTGTCCCATCTATTTTCTGTTTTCTTTAGTCATTTTAAATAATTAATTTTCATTAATTTTTTTTCTTTGTTTTTCAAAACACACCCAACATATACAAACAGCCGTGGAAAGCCAGGTGAGTTTCCCGCCCAATTCTACAGGCTATAAATGGGTCAAGTCAGGTCAACCGGGTTAGACAGCTCTACATGAGTCTTAAGGCGGTACTGCATTTAATGTTTGTTGGGTACGAATGCTTTAAATAGTTGTTGCAATATGTCTTTTCAAAACTTTTTGAGTCATTTAATACAAAAGCAGTTTGAACTTTGGAAAACCAATTGTATTTAGCACAAATTTGAATTTGAATTGGGTTTACAATTCGTAGGGTACATCTTCTCAGAGGATTTACATTAAATTATGTGTACTCTCATGTCTTCTTCGGCTGCATAACATATTCAATAAGATCTTAATAAGATCTTCATAGTACATGTTGTAATCTTTAAAGTAAAAATGCATTTAATGGATTGCAACTACTCAAGCACACTTTATTGATCAACACAAGATATCAGTTGGTTCTTAACCGATTGCTATCTACTGGATACTGGCCCAATTGTAGTATAAATACATAGCTTCACTTGGTTTAGTAACATATCCTACAATCACACAACATACAAATATGGCAGAAAAGAGAATACGAATTATTTGGATATCAGAGTGTGCAGTGGCAACCAACTTAAGAATCATCGATGCAAAGGGAAGTCTGGATAGTTTTAGCTAAACAAAGGTAATATTTTAAATTCATTAATTAAAACATTAATGTTACTTTTTTTCCTTTATACGTGAAACCTAATGATAATTGTACATACATGAATGTGACTAGAAATGAAAAATCTAATAATAATCTCATTGATGGAGTATATTCCCGTATACTCCGGGGGTATCATAATCGCCGATGAGAAAGCATCACGGGGCCACATCGGAGTGTGTGAAAAGACTAAGCCCACAATCAAATCAACCCCGACCCCGACCCCGACCGACCAAGGTCAAGAATGAGCGTCAGACAACAAAATGACCAAAGGCCAAGAGGTCATCCCGACCCCGACCTCGAGGTCGGGAAAACACCAGGCTCAGGAATGGGCTAAACTCAACAAGTTATGAGCCTGACCTCGAATACCCGAGCTCGGTACCAAGCCTGACCTCGGAGGTCAAGCACATGGGCAACCAAAGTCAGAGTATCAAGCGGCCAGCCACGTCAGAGGCAAGACAAGGGACAGAAGGCAAGTCCCCTAACGATGAGCCCGAGTCCCCAGTCACTGATCCCAGTAGAACCCAAGGTCAGGGCAAGGCATTATGTACTTAGACAAGTCCGCGAGGACCTGCACCACAAGGAAGTACTGCCATGTCATCACTAGCAGCAGATAATATGCCAGGATGCACACACTGAGCCACACGAGTATTCTGGTAGCAGTTCGTTAGAGATAATTCCAATCAGCCATTTGTCCAAGACTATCTCTCCAATCACCTTTACACGTGGCTGCTCCCCATCGAATTAGACTAATAGTTTGTTAGAATAGCTTTACACGTGTCCCCCTCCCATTTGATCAGTATCTTTTTACTTGGGAACCAAGTATTGCCTTCTATCTCTTAGTATAAATATCACCTTCCAACTTGTGGAAAGGGATCGCATTCTAAATACCCTTACTGTTATACTGTCGGATTTTCTACCTGCATTTGCCGATCAGTTCGCTCTCTCATTTTACTTAGATTCTGACTACCCCCGGTCCAGTGATCCATCATTTTTGGTGCTCTCGTTGAGAGCTGTACTGTGAACATGTCAAATCCTCCCGCACTTTTTCCAGATCTATAGCAAGCTTCTTCTCAACAATGGCTGGAAAGAGAACTCTGAGAACCCGACGCGCTGCTACGGCCGTGGCCCAGGTTGAGCCCTCGCTGGAAGCTACTGCTACTTCCGGCTCCAGGAGGGCCGCCATGGGAAAACAAGTCGCTGGAGATTCCGCTGATCTGCACAGCCAGATCCAGCGTGCTTCCCCAGATCTCCGTCAGCAGATCTCGCTGAACCGTGATGCAGCGGCAATGCCGCCCGCGCAGGTGATCCCACAATTCCAGAATCTTCTGATGGTTGATCCCTCTGCGGCGGTTGGCGCCCTCATCTCCGGGTTACAGCAGGTGCTACCCACGCTGCAATCTCAGCCAACAACTGATGTGGCTCCTCATGCCACTAGGCCTATCTCGCCGGCGAACTGTAGATCCCGGTCTCTGAGGGTAGGCTCTATTGACGTCCCTCTGCTGGTGGATAGGCCAGTGCAGATGATCTATCAATCTCCCCCTCGTCAGAGGGCTGCTCCACTGGTGGCTTCTGCAGCACCTGTGAACGTTGTGCCTCTAGCGCAGCAGGCGGGAACTTCCCGCCCCACTGCGGCACCACAGAGGATGGCCCCACCGCCTCCTCCTGCATTGTCGTTGAAATACATGGCACGCCATGTTGATCACGGCTGCCACAATGATGAAGGCGTCTAGGCTGTCACCACGGAGGACTCCTCACAGTCCTTTTCCCCGCAAGGGCAGCAACAAGACGACAACCCCAATCCCTAGATTGAAGTGGGAAGGCATCCCATCTTCTCCAAATTGGGAGACAGATTTGTGGCGAATCAGCGCCTATCTGTCAACATTCGGGGGATCAACCGGGCGAATTCCCCAGTTCTCAGCATCCCCCCAGCAACAGCAACAACGGCCTGGGAAAAGGACTTTAGAGCGTATACCCGCTTTGGAGAGGCTAGGGGGCAATCGTTCCCCCAGATTCGCCCCCTGATGCCATCAACAGATGCCTTCTCCCCCAAGGCAGCAACGCGCTTCTCCACCGTGCCAACCACAACAACAACAGCAACCCCTGTGCCAGCCAAGGCTCTCACCGCCAAGGCGGCAGGTTGAATCTCCGCCACGGCGTCAGCGCCAGGTGGATCTTAGGGAGAAGCAGATCCGCCTCCTTACCCAATAGGTCAATGAACTGCGGGCCACAGCAGTCACAGCAGCACCGCCACTTCCCCCACCCCCCAGCACACGGCGCGTGACGCCCAGCTGGAAGCACTTGCACTCCAGGTCCAACAACTGCAGGCTCAGATCAACCATGAGCCCGTCACGGTGAGGGTAAGGACTGCTACCCCTTTCACCGCCCGGATAATGCAGGCCCCTATACCCCCAAAGTATAAGGGGCCCAACATCCAACTCTATGGGGGTAAATCTGACCCCCAGGAGCACTGTACCCGCTACCAGTCCAGCATGTATATGCTGGGCGCTAGCGATGAGTACATTTGCAGGATGTTTCCCCGCGCTAGTAGTGGTAGTGGTGGTGGTGGTGGTGGTGGTTTAATCATGCACAAAACCTTTTTTATGAATAAATTCAATTGTTAAATAAAAGAAAAATAATTAACATTTTTGTATGGTTGAGAGATTTTGACATATTTACTTGTATTTTCACTCAGAATATTAGGAAAAGTGGTTTCCAAATCGTTAAATTTATTCGTAAAAGGGATTATGTGCATGATTAATTAAAACACAAAGGGGTTTGGCGCATTTTAAAATCACAGGGGCTAATGCGCCAAATTTAAGTATCACAAGAGGGTTTGGTGCATTAAACCCTTATTTTTAATTATAAATGAATAAAATATATTTATTTATGGATTATAATATATATAAAAAATAAAATCTTATGCAAAAATATAAAAAATAAAATTTCAGACCAGATCAGACTACAACAGACATACCAAAATAGACCATACCACACTAAAACAAACGGCAACAAATTAGAGTCAACAAAATAAACATAAGTGAACGAAGAAAGGAGGATAGTGTATTTGACAGGTCAAAAATGATGGAGCTCGCTCTGCCCCAACGGCACCATCACCGATCTGTACTCCCAGCAGCAGCTCCGCCGCAGTCACGACATTGCAATTGCTTTTGTACTTTTCTCCGTTATACTCGCTCTTTATACGATGCTCGCCTCCTCCAATTCAGCCCAAAAACTTCGTATTCTAACCGAGCAACTACTCTCAAACTTCACGCCACTGCTTCTCGCCACAGAAATCGAATGTCTGAGGGCTTACAGGTTAAGCTAGCAGCAGAAGAAGAAGACGAGAATGAAGCAGCGAGTGATGTTTATAACAAATGCAGAGCAACATCGAAGATAATATATGGAGGAGAAGAAGATGTAGAAGATCAAAAGGACGACTCCGGTATTCTTTTGTCTCTAACGCAGAAACCAGACCGCAATCGTCAATCGCTCGATGACTATGAACTCGAAGATCTTGACTATGCTTCTGATAATCCAAATCATAGGAGCGGTGAGTCCTACTCCTATATTCGTAGTTTCATACTTTCATACAGTATGAATGTTATTACACGGTTGTACTACCGTGGAGTAAGCCGCTAGTTTAACTGACTCAACAGTGCAGCTAATTTGGTTCTGAAGTTGCGTGGTTTGTTATGTTAAGAGAACTTGTTTGAGATGAGTTGAACATTGTTTTGTTCGTAACGTAGGATATGTTGCTGTCCTTGGGAAGCCTAATGTGGGTAAAAGTACACTTTCGAACCAAATGGTTGGGCAGAAACTCTCTATTGTTACGGATAAGCCTCAGACTACAAGGCATCGCATTCTTGGTATATGTTCCGGTCCTGAGTATCAGGTTTGAAGATGTTCGTATTAAAGTTTGAAATATTATTGCTTTTCTTTACATGTATGCATTTTTATGTCTTCAGTCTTATTTCAATGGTTCAATTAACCTCACTCATGAGTCATGAAAGTTATACAATTGAGCCATAAACAACCTCTCTTCACATGAAAATCTTTTCTGAATGGTCTCAAATTTCTGAATAATTATTGACTGGATTTAAGACCCTTTCAGGGTGTAATTTTCATCTTCAATAAGCAATATGGTCAGGAATCAGGCTATTTACAATGTTAAGTATATTTTGGGATTAGAGACGTGGCTTTGCTTGCAGATGATACTATATGATACCCCTGGTGTTATAGAGAAGAAAATGCACAAATTGGACTCAATGATGATGAGGAATGTCCGCAATGCTTCTGTCAGTGCCGATTGCATACTTATTGTTGTAGATGCATGCAAGGCTCCTGAAAAGGTATGCACCTAAGGTATGCACCTTCATATGGAAGGGAGCTACTTTCTGCTTGTTAAATGTATTGTATATATATTATATAACACTTAGAGCCCGTTTTGTAATACTGAATTTGGTTGAATATGTTGAAATTGATGAATTTCGTTGAATTGACTGAATCTGCTGAAATATGTAAATCTAATAATTAAAATATTTATTATTAATAAAATAAAGAAAAAGTTATATGAAAAATAGCTAAAATGATCCTCTACAGTAACTTTGACAATGCAGTCAGAAAAGTAACTCCAACCTTACTTATTTTGACTACCTTACTTATTTTGATTATTACCCTATTCAGTGCGTGAAATCAAATGTTACGTATTTGGTAAAAAAGGTTGGTTGATAAGCTGAAAAAAGAAATTACCAAACGGGCTATTAATCTCTCTGGTATTTGCCTGATATAGATTGATGAAGTACTCCATGAGGGTGTTGGAGGTCTACAAGATAGGTTGCCGATATTGCTTGTTTTGAATAAAAAGGACCTGATCAAACCTGGTGAAATTGGAAAGAAACTTGAGGTCTATGCTGTTTCTTCTGCTACACTTGGTTGCCATTTTCTGGCTTCTTTTTAATGTGAATGCTTAAATACTATCTGCTCTTCTAATTTAGATATTATGCTTGACAGTTTAGCCACCCTATATACCCTCTAATGCTGTGGAATCCTACATAACAAAACCGAATGTAGTTTTAACTTTCAAACAGAAAATGCATTAAGTTAGGATTATACAACTGCTGCGTTTTAACTTTCAATATTGATGCTGCAATTTTTTCAAGTGATAAACGAGTGGGATTTGGCTGCTGCGTTAGGGATCATATGGGGAGATTTTGCAGGGCTCGAACATCATGGATGAGAGCGGAATGAGTCCAGCTGAGGCAGAAGCTCGGAGTTTGAGGGAAGCTCTTAAATGGATGCAACCGAGTGTACAAGAGTTATTTTTGAGTCCGATGCAAGCAGTTGGTGGATGATATTTACAACACACATAGTGATCGGTCTGAGTATGGATCTCTAGTACAAGATTTTAGGGATCTCATTGGGTCTAATAACGACTCCTGTGTCGTTTTTGCTAGGCGACAAGCTAATAGTAGTGCTCATGTTCTTGCTAGAGCATCTACTAGTTATGCTTCTTGCACAATTTTTTTATCTATTTCTTACTGTATTAAGAACATTGTGATTGATGAAATGAATTAAGCTTTTGCGTAAAAAAAAGGATTATACAACTGCTTTAGAATACGCATCACTGTTTAAAGCTTTTTCCTTTTTAGTGTGTTAAAGCGAAGTTCTTTTGACTTCAGTGATGCCACATAGTATAGTTATAAGTTAAATGTAGGGTCATAGGGCTCTAACACGTAGAAGTAGTAGAACTAATGAGAACAGGGTCAGTGTACTTCAATTTGTATCTTTTTCGTTTTGGGCTTTATTCCATTCTTTGATAGGCAAAGGGTTATAATGTTATTCTCCATATAATGAACCACATTTGTTATGCCATTGATTGAAGTCCCAGGTTTCCATGTGTGTTTCAAGGATGTAAAATTATTTTCCTACGGTATTAACATATTCTCTTTCTTCCAGTGGTATGAAAAATTTACTTGCGCTGATGAGGTTATTCCTGTCAGTGCCAAATATGGGCATGGTGTGGAAGACGTGAAAGATTGGATACTCTCAAAGCTTCCCCTTGGACCAGCTTATTATCCCAGGGTATGGACCAATTACTGTATTTATTGTCAATATTTTTTTTTAAGTAATACCAATGTTTCTTGATTTTGCTTTATTATTATTTTCAAATAATGACTGTGTACACTTCAGAGTACTATTTTTCCAACTAAATGATTTTCTTTAGGGCCACACTGCCACACAATTACTTCTCACTTCGGAAAGTTAATGATGTAACGAAGCAGCAGATTTTACATTCATTGTTGAAAGTTTGAATGAATGACTTCACTTGCATCCTCTGTTTGGTTGAATTAGGCCCTATATTTTTTGCATCTACTAAGTTTCGGAAGGGCTTTGCTAGTTTCTTAATAATCTGCAAGTCTGCAACATTTAACTACTTGGAGAAGCTCTAACCCGGTCAATAAAATTGGATATTTGGTCGTTCCCCTGAAGGGCATTGCTAGTGAGCATCCAGAAAGATTTTTTGTTGCTGAAATTGTGAGGGAAAAGATCTTTATGCAATACAGGAATGAAGTCCCCTATGCATGTCAGGTAAAAGTGTAAAACATTACTCAGTTATGACAACAACAAACAACATCCAAGCCTTATTCCCAAGCCTTATAATCTGCAAAATTCATTACATTCTAATGAGTTATTTTGTTAATATATTAGATCAGTTTAGTTTTAACTCTGCAGGTTAACGCAGTTAGCTACAAAAGTAGACCACAAGCAAAAGACTTTATACAAGTTGAAGTTATAGTGGAGAAGAACTCTCAAAAAGGCATCCTTGTTGGAAAGGTACTTTATTTTTGCCTTCTTGAATTAGTATGTTTGCTTTTCCCCTTTGTTTTGAACTGTCCACTATTAGCCTGAAAACCACTATGTCTGCTTCAACATGATTAACCATTTAACCTTTGTGCTAAAGTCAAAAGTTTGATATGATTGATGGTTTTAAACTTTGGGTAGGATAATATCAATGCCACTCACTATTGCCTTAATACCTTTAGATTTTTGTTTGAATAGCATTGCGTTGCAACCCCTAACTATATGTTGTTGAGTTTATACTATAAATTTATAACCATATAATGACTTATAAATAAGAGATAATTACATATATATGACTAAAATATACCGAGTTTCCCTATATGTGACATCTTGTTTCTATTTCTAAAAGAGTACTGATTTGGTATTATTTAAAGAAGACTAGTATAAACTAATAATTGGTTTTGTAATGAGTTGCATCAATGAGCAGTGGCACCAATGACAATAGTGCGGCTGGATGTGGTGGACAGTGTTTCGGGTGAAGGCAATAGTTGTTTTTAGTTTTATGTCATTTAGGGTATTGAGGGGGTATTTTTGTGTCAATACTTATGTTTAGGCATATGAGTTATAGTAGTCATATACTCATATACTCATATTTAGATAAATGACTATGCTCGAGTCATATTTCAGTAAATTCCCCTATAAACAATTAATTTGCTCGAGTCACACTGATCTGGTTTGTTATTTAGTTCAGGAAGGAAAGGCCTTGAAGCTTCTTGCAACAGCTGCACGGCTGGATATAGAAGATTTCTTGCAAAAGAAAGTTTTTCTCGAGGTATAGTTTTATGTAGGCATTCTCATCTTTAATTTCAAGTCCCTAACAAGTCATTGCTTAAGATTCAAACTTGAGTTGCAATTTAGGGTAGAACGTTCTAAAAGCATGTTAATTTCAAACAGGTAGAGGTGAAAGTTAAAGAGAATTGGAGGCAAAATGAAGGTCTTCTAAAACACTATGGATATGGTGGGCAAATTCAAGCCTTGTAATGGGATATATTCCGTTTGGGGATCAATAGCGACGGTGATGAAGACTTCATAATGAGTGAAACTTGGTCTTCTGTTGACCAGGCATACAAATAGAACTAACCAGAGCAGTGCATGCAGTTCAAATTACAGGCTTGTGCAAGAACATTGTATGTAAAGAATTAATGTCAGCTTTATTTCTGCGCTATTGTGATGCCTGGACCTGGGGAGCTACCACTGATGACAGCTACATATTTTTCAAAATATGGCAACCCTAGATCACTAGATGCATGGATTGCATTCTACTTGTAAGTTTCTCAGCCTGTTTCACTTGTCATATTGATGTGGAGACGCCATATCTAATAATATATTTAAGGGGAATTCTTATTTGTTATTATAATCAATAATATATGGATCGGAATTGTTAAGTGCAGTCTTCTCTAATGAGACAGCTATCTTATAGTTTGAATAGTTATCGACATTAGCATCTGCATCCAAAATGACTTCTGAGTTCTGACTTCTGACACACTTGGGTTTGATGTTATATATGTGGATAAAAGTTGCTTGAGCTTCTAGAACTGAAAAAAAATGAACCCACAGAACATCAAGAATAAGAAATAAAGCTTTTTGTCTAAACGGAAGGTGAATTTGGTAAGCTGGGGAGTGGGGAGGGATGAGAAAAGGGGAATGCGAAATGATCCCTCGCCACATTTGGTTGAGAGCTTTTGGAGGTTAAGATGTTTTTACTTGGACTGAAATTTTCTTGTTTTGTTTGAACTGATCTGGTCTCTGTGTATGTTTATATTTGTCCAAGTCTGGTCTGGTCTGGGATTGAAAATAGTCAAGTAAAAGCATATCCTAAGTCAAAACTATCCCTTCCCTTCCCTTATTTTCCTACAAATTTGGGTTTTTTGGGAAGGGAAACAAGAATACATTACCCCCTCCCTCCATTCTCATAAGTCATAACACAAAGGTAGATTCTATGGTACCCACATAGACCAATCAAAATGTTGCAGTTGAATTATTTAAATCTAAATTAAAAATGATATAATGATTTAGATCAATCAAGTGAATGGTAGGTACGGTACCCCATTTTTTAAATTGGTACCGGAGTTGTCACCTAAAACAAAACTAGACACAATAAACATAAAGCAATCCTTCCTCAATTCTCCAATTTTCCTCCCTTGAACCAAAATACCAAATACACCCCAACTCCCCAAGTCTCGGAATAAAATATGGACCACTAAGAGCATCTCCAATGGGAGGGTGCATTGTAGCTGATGTGGCATTGGAGAGAGATAGAGATAGACTAAATATTTGGATGAAGTGGTGTGTATGGAAAAATGAAAAAGAGGAGAGAGATAGAGGTAAAAATGGACCAAGGTCTAATGGACCTTACACGGGATTCGAGGAGAAAAAGTTGATGAAAAGTGGATTAAAATTGATATAAAAAAATGAAAAATGAAAATAAATTAAGAATACGTGGGACCTACACATAAAAAATGTGAGATAAAAAATGGGACCCATGCGTAAGGGTGTGTAAAAGACCCAGACCCTTGCATCGGAGTTGCTCTAAGAATCTTGAAACTACATCCGAGTTTTTAAAATGAGTAGTTCAAAAATATGATTAAAATGAGTATATGTAACTTTAGATTTGAGCAGTGGCTGCTCGTTATCAGGTTCTTTCTGATCTGGATTCTAGAGGCTGGATGTTTGTACGGTGGGTCCGTGGGAATGGATGGCCAAGGAGTTTCGGATTTGAGGGATGTGATCATTATTGTTTTAAATTTATTTTTACATTTAGTTTGTAGGGGGGAAAAGCCAAGCAAAACTGCAAAAGAAGTATACATGGTTTTAACTATGCAAATGGAGTGCGTATACCGTGCAACCGGTATACGGTGAGCACAGTATACCGGGACGGTTTTATATTTTTTTTTTCTTTTGTTTTTAAAAAATGGTTATAACTTTTTTATTTTTGATTCGATTTTTATAAAATTTATATCAACATTTTTTATTTTTCATGATCTTTCAAATGAGACCAATATTGCCTATGTAATTTTAACATATTAACATTTGTGTGTAAAATATGTAACTTTAAGTGTTAAAATATGTAACTCACGTTCAGTCAAGTCAAATGCAACTCGTGTGTATAAATATGTATCTCTACGTGTAACAATATGTAACTTTACGTAAAAAAATATGTAACTCGCATTTAGACAGGTCACATGCAACTCGTGTGTATAAATATGTAACTCGTGTGTATAAATATGCAACTTTACGTGTAAAAATATGTAACTTTACGTGTAAATATATGTAAGTCGCGTTCAGACATGTCAAATGCAACTCGTGTGTATATATATATGTAACTCGCTTATAAAAAGATGTAACTTGCTTATAAAAAGATGTAACTCGCTTATAAAAAGATGTAACTTGCTTATAAAAAGATGTAACTCGCTCATAAAAAGATGTAACTCAATGTATTATCAAATGTAACTGAGGCCACTGATCCACTCCCAAACAGATTCGATCTTCTATTTCACAAACCTATCATCTCTCAAACAGATTCGATTTTTCTTATAATCCAATACTCATTAATATAATAGTTCGATAATTTCTTAAAATTACATACACAATATTGGTCTCATTTGAAAGATCATGAAAAATAAAAAACGTTGATATAAATTTTATAAAAATCGGATCAAAAATAAAAAAGTTATTATCATTTTTAACATCAAAAGCAAAAAAAAAAAAAGAGATAACTGCGTCGTTTTTGCAACCGGGCGCACCATCCTCATGGTGCGCCGGTTGCACCATATAATTTGCGATGCAAATGAGGGATGTGGTGGCATTGTGGTCCATGAGACTAATATACGTTTTTTTGCAAATGATACAGACACTTTAAGGATAAAAGAGAGTGTTTGCAAAAAATTATAGGAGGCTCTGTCCGGCCATCGTCATTTGGGGCAGTTTTCAGTGGAATTATTTGATGAAACTTTTTGAGAATCTTATTGATTAAGTTCAGTTTACTCATACCAAATTTCAGCTAACAATTCAATTGGAAAGACATTCAAATAAATTCTTGAAGATAACCGCGCTTTTAACTTCGCACTTTTCTTCAAGAATTCCTTTGAGTGCCTTTCTGATTGAAGTTTTAGCTGAAATTTGGTACGAGTAAACTAGACTTAATGAATAATATGCTCAAAAAATTGCATCAAAAAATTTCCACCAGAAACCTCCCCAAGTGACGACGATCGGACATAAACTCCTATATAAGGGCTTATTTGACCTTTTTTGGTTAGTACGTGAGCTTATTTGCCCCTTTTCTCTAAAATGTTTTTCAGCTTTTGACTTGAGAAAATTGAAATGGACGTTTTAAGCAATTAAAGGGTAAAAGCTACAAGCATGTAGATGAGTGTTTTAAATTGCTTTTCACTTTTTCTATTACGCAAAAGACACTTATCAAATAGTATCAACTTTTATTTTTTCAAAAGCACTCTATTTTCAAATACTACTAACTTTTACTATTAAACACTTTTTAAAATCACTTTAAAAATCACCTTTCTAAAGTAGATGCAATCACAAACACTTCCCAGAAATTGGTCTAAAAGCACTTCTAAACCCTGAACACTTTTTGAACAACAATTTTCTTTAAAGACATATTTTTCTCATGGCGCGTTTGGAATTTTCGGTTTATTGTATCCATGGATGTTGTTTGAGCAAGAAATTAACTATTTCTATAACAATCTAATTATTCTAATATGGGAATCGTACAAGAAAGAATTCAATGAAATTTAATGAGAAATTGATACTAGAATTTTGATTGATGAATATTGCTGTGAATACAAGAGTATTTGTGAGCTTTTGATCAGTATTGATCGTGCCCCCATATCAAGATTTCTGATCTATTTAAATTAGACTCCCCCTAGTGGCGAGCTTCCCTCCTGCGGCCAAGTAGCTTTTCCTCCAAAATAGGCGGCTTCGTACTGGGACGGTTGCAACCGTTTTTCTTTTCTTCCAAGCTTCCTTGTGCTTATCCATTCCACTTGCTCTTATTTGCTTGGGCTTCTTTAATGTTTATTCGCATAACCTGCTATGGACCGCATCAATTGTTTAACTTTTTAAGCCCAATTGACAACTTGTTTTTCCGGGCCCAACAATTGCCCCCAATTCGAAATAATAATTGACGCCTGCCCATTTCACCTGCATTATTTTTTCGAATTTTGAATGTTGACGCTTCGCATTGAGACTTGTGCATCGTACTATCATCATTTCGCCGCCTTGCGACTTGTAAAGCCGTCACACCTTCCCACTCGTTTTAACCATCATATGCATTACTCTCTTCCGTCATTCAAAATTCATCCCCAGAATTCCTTTCATCCACTTCCTCTCCATTTCGCAACAGTCCCTGACCTTCCATGGCTTCCCAAAACCTTCATCCCGCAACACATTTTGGACCCTAAAAACTCAAAACAGGCAAAGCTCTCGGAATCTCATGTTGAACTTATCAAATCGTCTGCCGGTTTCCCCCATGATGCAATCATCCTGTTTCCGGCACCGAATGAGAGGATGGACTGGTACTGTGAGGGATGGGTAAACTTCTTAATGTACCCGTTCAAAATAGGTATGAAATTCCCCTTTTCACGCTTAGTTAAAGATTTTCTTGCTTTCGTCAAAGTGTCTCCTTCGCAAATTATGCCCCAAGTATGGAGGGTGCTCAGAGCCCTAGAGGTCTTGAGTGGAAAACACGACTTGCCCTTTGATTTTGAGGACCTTGGATTTACCTACGACCTTCCGTCCTCTGGAGCTGGTCGTTTCACCCTTGCTGTGAAGGACGACAAAAAGATGCTCATCCATAAGGCAGATAAGGTGAATGACAGAGGTTGGATGAATAGATTCTTTTTTGTCAAGAAGGACTCATTGGGTGCTGATGGAGCGTTCTTGGAAGAGGATCTGCACAGAGGTTAGTCTCGCTCTCATATTGTGGTTAATAGTGTCGTCTTTCTGCAATTTCTTCTTTTTATTTTTCTTTTTCTTTTTTGTTTATTGACGTATAAAATCGGTTGTATCTGGCGTTATTGCATTGTATTGCGCAGAAAGAAAAACAGTCCCTTTGTCCCCCCGACTTGAACTCCGAAGAGAGGACCGACAAAATCCTTCTCATACCTGCTGAAGAGCGGTTTTACACAAATTTGGTGTTGGATTCCCAAGGTACGTCACCTCCTCCTGGTGCTTCCGCGTTTGTGGGGTTAAGGCGTTCGGGTAGGCATAATCCAAGTGCACATCATTTGAACCATGATTCACCTGTAATTTCCATAGAAGAGTCAGAACAAGGGTCAGACAATGACGGAGAAGGTACCAATGCTTTTTGTCCCTCTGCAAGTTGTTTTTCCAGTTGCCCAGAGCACGCCTTCCATTCCAGCCAAACGTCCTACCCCAACTGCTGGTTCGAGCCCTATAGCCTTATCTTAATGATTTTCGATTTTTAGCTTTAA